TTCACTGCACCTAACTGAATGTGATTGCAGTCTTCGAAGTCAACTGCGAAACAATGAGAACAAGTTGATAGCCATAGGAAAAGGTTTTATCACACAGAAAACTCATCTGACTGTTCGAAATGTATGTTACAGTAGGCAAGTCAAACCCAAAAAGTCGGTTTCAAAATAATGTTGAAATTTTTAGGCCGATGCATCATTCCAATTGGTGACGAGGTTGTCATGTCGATCGGAGCTTCAGGATCCTCGAACATTTGGTAACGAGAAATCAAGTTGGCCAAAATCTAAACTCCACGATAAAGTTAGGTGTAACGGCAATCATCTTGCCCGATAGATGCAAGTTGTGGACCGTGCATCATCTAATATACGTATGGCACCCACAAAAAATGGCGACATTTTAACGATGAATGACGTCATTGAATCCGAGCGCTTTTCTCTGCGGTGTTTCCTCCGGAATTCCTTCTCACCAACTTATCAGAGGTTCAGTCAGTCACCTGGGAAGGGAACAATGAGTCACCACGGGTATGTCGCTGCCAGGCCGCCCTGGGCGCTCCGTTGGCCCTGGAGCGCCACGTCCGGGCTGCTTCTATAAACCAAACCAGTCTTCCAACGTGATTATCGCTCCACCGTCTTTCATCGCTGGGTGGGCACCATTCAGGCAAGAAAGACAAGTGCATAAAATTGAGCGGTAAAAGGACTAGTCTCAGAAGGGAGGTCGTTCAGGGTGTGCCAAGCTTTTTCAAAACGGTCTTTTGCATGATATAGGGGCACATGCGGGAACCACAGAACCATGGTTCATTTTTCCTGAACGGCCCTCTGAATACCAGAAAAGGGGTCCCTAGTTCGATTCCTCGTGGTGACAAATTTTTGCATTTCGAGTTGACGTTTCAAAATTCGCGCAAAATGGAGTTAGCATGAACAATAATTCCATATCATAATTAGTATTTGTACATAATTAATTATTCATTGTCGTGTACTTAGGATAGTACACGACAATGAAAAACATATGTATTGACGGGGAGATTAGGATAGTAGTAGATTAGGATAGTAGTAGAGTAGGATAGTGCGCTGACAAGATTAGATATGTATTGATCTATTCGCTTGAAGTCGCCCAATCTACTACTCTCCAGCGATTTCAATCGATACGTATCCAATCTTGTCAGCGCAATCTCCTACTCTACTACTATCCTAATATCCTGTCGCCTACTATCCTAATCTCCCGAGTCGCGAACTATGAACGCGGCCTTAACCCCGTAATACCTAATATGTATAAGAAAAGAAGATAAGGCTGTTCAGAATGAAGTAGAGTGTAAATCAGACCAGCTGCATCGCAACCCTTCCAGATCCGATACGTAAGTACATCCCGAAGTGGGTTTCAGCGCCTTATCCCGCCATTGATAGGGCGTCCTTGTCCCTGATGTATGTATCAACTGCCGGCTCATTGGGTAAGTCTCCTACCCAATCTACTGGGTAGGTTTCTCATTCATCCCTGTGGGATTTATCGCGGCCACTTCCTCTAAAAGCATCTGCCACCATCATTTACTAATGTGGTTATTAAAGAAAAGAAAACTATAAAATGACTGACACAAAACCAACCAAGAAAATCTCCGCTTTTGCCAAGTTTTCACCTATACATGATCGTTTACCAAGACCAAAAGGAATCACTTGCTGTTCCAATGTCTTGCCGCCTTGTCTATACCGTTCAGGATAGAACTGAAAACCGCAATAATTAT